AGTTTGACAACGATGCCGCCGTGATGAATATTGACGAAAAGCTGCAGTGCTCGTTTCTCATCATCGCTGCACGTTGAAGAAGGGATGGGTGCGAAGCGCAAGAGTTGGGCGTATCGAGTCTGCTCGTTAATGTTGGTTGCAGGGCTTCGATTAAGCCACGGAGAGGCAACGGGGAGGACGCGCTTGCTCTTGGTATAGATAGTGCATGCTCAGCGCGCTTAGCTAGCCCATTGTGAACCCCAGCTGTTTTCTAACGGTTTGGTTCTCCCTTTCTTCAACAAATATTTCTTTCGTGCGCCCTGACTTGTCATTATTTTTATTGTTTGAATGTGCCCACACACCTAACACTTCCAGAGTCACCGATATGTGCATAAATATATATAGCCGTGAGGTTGCTGAGAGGGGCGCAGAATCAAACCACAGGTGCAAGGTGCACTGAGAACAAACAAAAAACTCAAATGATAACAATAGTGGTGGACAAACGTGTGCGCAGGGTAGAGTTCAAAGTATGATTTAGACATTTAGCCCAATACATCATTTGGGGCAATGCGCTTCTCTTTTTTTTTATTATTATTTATTGTACCCTCCCTACACCATTCCATTCACCCGATTCTGTCACCTATGTCACCTTAGGCTTTCTTGTGAAGGATGTGAAGAGATTATACACGTGCCGTAATTAACAAAAGCACGCACACCTACATCTCCCACACACACACACACACACCCACACACTTTCTAACATCATTTAACGCTGAAGCGTTCTAAGTTAACACTGTTACCTTGTGCCTTCCCGCATTACGTGTAATACTGGCTGTGCCTCTCCGCTACCAACTTCACAGCCTTTCCTGCTGCCTTTCTGCCGCTCCTTCATAGTTTAGTGGAAACGCTGTGCGCAACGCCTCACAGCCAAAAAAAAGGAAATAAGGGTACTATACACCAAGCCCACTCTTCCTTCTTATCCAACAAAAAAATCGACAAAAATATGGAAGTTAGGATGCATGGAATTGCGTTAGTGCAAAACCTTTTGGAAAAACTTCTCACTGCGAAAGGAAGCACCACACAGCAGCAGATCCTTATTCGTGAGGAGGATATACGTAATGTTCTCACGGAGGTACGCGATGTATTCATGTCACAGCCAATGCTGCTGGAGATCCGCCCACCTGTACGCCTCTGTGGCGACATACACGGGCAGTACTACGATCTGCTACGCATATTCGAGAAGTGTGGGTTCCCACCGTACTCGAACTACCTGTTCCTGGGGGACTACGTAGACCGCGGCAAGCACAGTGTGGAAACAATCACTCTCATGTTCTGCTACAAAATCATCTACCCGGAGAACTTCTTTCTGCTGCGCGGCAACCACGAGTGTGCGAGCATCAACAAAATGTACGGCTTCTTCGATGATGTGAAACGACGGTACAATATCAGGCTGTTCAAGGCATTCACAGACGTGTTCAACACGATGCCTGTGTGCTGCGTTGTGAGTGAGAAGATTATCTGCATGCACGGCGGACTCAGCCCCGACCTGACCTCACCCGCCGCTGTGAACGAGATAGAAAGGCCGTGTGATGTGCCGGACAGAGGCATTCTGTGCGACCTGCTGTGGGCCGACCCCGAGGACGAGGTGAAGGGCTTCCTGGAGAGCGACCGTGGCGTGAGCTACCTGTTTGGCGAGGACATCGTGGGCGACTTCCTGGACATGGTGGACATGGACCTGGTGGTGCGTGCGCACCAGGTGATGGAGCGTGGCTACGGCTTCTTTGCGAGCCGGCAGTTGGTGACGATCTTCTCGGCCCCAAACTACTGCGGCGAGTTTGACAACGATGCCGCCGTGATGAATATTGACGAAAAGCTGCAGTGCTCGTTTCTCATCATCGCTGCACGTTGAAGAAGGGATGGTGGTAGGGAGAATGTAGTGTTGTATGCAAAAAATGCCTAAGTACGACGACGAATGATTGGAGATTATGTTAACTCCATCAGCGCGCGGCGTTGTGAAGCTTCTGGTTACCAGAACCGCTTCTTGTTTTCTTTTGATTTGTTACCTTGTGAAGACCCAATGTTTCGGCATTACTGATCATGTGTTTATTTTTTTATTGTACATCTTTTGCACTCGACGCTTGTTTTTCCCCCAGGAGTCGTGGAGAATGTGATGCCGGGGTAGAGAAAGTAGCAATGCCGCACTGGGGAGGGCTGTTTTGTGATGTAGAATGCACTTGGCAACTAAGCTGGTGCTTCTGGCTTCCACAGCTTTCCGGATGTTACTATCGTTTTTAATATTACCATCGCGGCAAGTGCTTAGCTCCACCCTCAGCTCATTTACGCGCTGACAGCACTCTTTGTTGTGCGAGTGTTGTTCCCGCTTGAAGCGCTTGTGCATTGATTCCTCTCGCTGTGGAAAGGGAGTATATATACAGTGAGAGTTAAGGACGATACAGCAAAGCAACACTCTTGTGCAATAACAAATGCCCTTTTAGGGTCTTGACGCAGCATGGTATCGCGAACCTTGTTCATTGTTTTTAGTTGTGCGTGGGGCTTTTAGTCCCACCTATGAGCCACCCCAGAGAACTGTATGGTTGCCGACTATGTCTGACGTCTCGTGTTATTCTTCGCGTGCCTCAACATAACCCCCTGTTTCTCCCCATTGTCTCTTTATCGTACAGCCACCGCTGTTACGACGGAAAGGCGCTGCGAAACGCAAGGTGCACTCGCAGACAAGGAAAAGGCAAGAAACTGGGCGATGGCGTCACCCCTAGTGCAAAACCTCATAGAGAGGTTGCTCACTGCGAAGGGGAGTGCCACTCAACGACAGAT